CAGGATCTCTGGGTTTACCGGAGTGAATACGAAGAATGTGGTGCTTCCTGCATTTTTAAGAAATGCTTCTGATGAAGACGCCATGTCCCTTAGAAATACCAGTGCTGGCAAAGGGTAACTGAATCAATTCAGGAGCACCTCCCTTCCACCCCTTGCTGTAATTAAAAGATTTCTGCTGGAGCTGTATTATTTTGTGACACTGTATGCTTGAAATAGTTTTTTTTTTCTTTTGTAGTTTGTATTTAATGAAGCCAGACAGCAGAGAGGTGACTGAGTTCTACTCTAATGAGAGAATCAGGCTTCCATACAGCCATGTTTGCTCAGAAACTGGGACATTTCTTAAGGTAACTCCGTATTTCTGCATTAATTCAATTCCCGGTAACTGCATCTGTTTGTAAGAGTTTCCACAGAACTCAGAAGAGCAAATTCAACCTGTCTGTGAAGACAGCAGCTAAGGCAGAATGGATTTCAAGATGCCATGCATCACTAAGAAAGCCAAAGAGCATGCTAGTAGGAATCAAAGGGAAGCAGGCTCCTGGCTTATATATACATACATTAAAGCGTTAAAGGAGCAGCTGCATTTCAGCACAAGCATGAATCCTCAGTAAGCCAGCAGGTATGAGGTTAGATCAGTTTCCAGCTGAAAGAGCTCTGCAATAGCGCACAGTGTAATCAGGGTACAGCAGCCTTAGCTGATCTTTAAACTCAGATAATTAGGGTAGTATTGCCCAGCTGTGTGTGACTCCACCCACCCCCCCCTAGCTTTTATTCATATTTTCCTCTACCCAGGAACTCTCTAGATTTCAGGACAGTAACAGCTGTTGGCACTGCAGGGCTCACTCTGATGCAACAAAGCGATTCTGATGAAAATCTGGTATTACCAACATCCAGCTTCAACGGAGAAAACACACATAATTTTTTGTTTAGCAACTACAGCAATTTGCTATTGGCGCAGACTTATTGGTAAGATCTCTAAACCAGACTGAACACCTTAAAATGTGACCTGTCATCATGGCAGGTACTGTCCACAGAGGGAGTGATGGTAGAGAAAACAGCCTGTCCAACACCGGTGGGGTTGCTTCACCCAGAAGGGAGGAAACAGTGGTGGGAGATGTTGGATTCAACCAGCAGCACTCAGAGCTGCGCACCCTCTTACTCCCCAGTGTCACAAACCACCTCCGCAGTGGGACGTGAGCGGCTGTCCCTGTTAGCGTGAGGCCATGCAGGTCACAGTCACAGTCGCATCAGGTGGAGGGACCCTTCACTCCTACACCCCTAAGAACAGTGTATCAGAAACGCCAGGACAACAATGGTTTCTGTAAAGATGTAATGAAATTATATGAAAAGTTACAGTTCAGCGTCCACTGGGATTCCCTGGCTTTTAGTTACTGGAGGAGATGCAGTTTCCACTGGAGATTTTTATTGAGTTTTGGTGGAATAAGCAATTCTGGATCTGAAAGGCAAACAGGACAAGCGTCAGAATGGAGGGTAACAGCAACATGGTTACTTCAGGAGCTGCCAACTACTTAGTTTACTTTTCTCTACATCAAAGGACACTGAGAAGCCTCGGACACACAGCATTTCCCTTTAGTGACTGATCAGCAGCCTGCACAGAAGAGTGCCCCCAGCAGAACTGCTTGCAGAAATTAATCTCTGGGGCAAATCAAGTCCCCTCTCCATTAAGTGTTATCCTTCAGAATGAGGAGGCAACAGTCAAGCAGAACTCCATTCATTCACCATCAATGGGGACATCATACACAACAGCCAGCTGGCTCTGTTAAGTGCGAATAAGAGGCACAAGGTTTTCTCTGGAGCCAGCCCTGGCAAGTGGCAACAGGCAGGTTGCATCTAGAGGTTTATTAGGGGACTTCTCCAGGCAATTCCAGGACTGGTAGGGGAAGAGACTGTAGGACTAGCAGGGAAGAGGGAAGACAGGGGAGTGGGACCAGCCCTTGCTAGGTCTCTCAGCCCTAAGTCTCTATCAGTTGCAAGGACTTCGAGATGGGAAAAGCACCACCACAGACTGTAGCCTGGCCTGGCCAAGAGCCTGGCCTGGCTGCCAAAGCCAGATAGAAAAATTCAGTGGGTAAGTTACAAGCAGAATGGTCTAACGCATCCCTTAAGAAATCAGACTTCCAATTCCCTCACAACAGA